GTACAGTTCAACAAGAAGACATAACAATTCTAAATATATATGCACCCAACCTAGGTGCGCCCAGATTCATAAGGAAAATTCTTCTTGATCTAAACAATTAGATAAACAACAACAACATAATAGTCCAAAACTTTAACACCCCACTGACAGCACAAGACAGATCCTCCAAACAGAAAATCAACAAAGAAATAATGGACTTAAACAGAACTCTAGAACGAATGGGCCTGACTGACATTAACAGGACATGCTACCCCCAAACCACGGAATATACATTCTTCTCATCAGCTCATGGGTCATTCTCTAAGATAGACCATATCCTAGGACACAAAGCATGTCTCAAACAATTTTAAAAAATAGAAATTATACCATGTATCTTTTCAGACCACAATGGAATAAATGTAGAAATCAATCCTAACAGGAGTTCTCATTTCTACACAAAGTCATGGAAACTAAACAACCTTCTGCTGAATGATCACTTCATAAACGAGGAAATCAAGATAGAAATCAAAAGATTCTTTGAACTAAATGACAACGGAGACACAAGTTACCAAAACCTGTGGGACACAGCTAGAGCAGTCCTGAGAGGAAAGTTTATTTCCATAAATGCCTATATCCAAAAGTCGAAAAGATCACAAATAGACAACCTAATGAATCACCTCAAACAGCTGGAAAAAGAAGAACATACTGACCCCTAACCCAGCAGAAGAAGTGAAATCATTAAGACCAAATCAGAACAAAACAAAATTGACAACAGGGAAACTATATGGAAGATTAATAAAACAAAAAGTTGGTTCTTTGAAAAAATAAACAAAATTGACACACCTGTGGCTAGACTAATGAAAAGCAGAAAAGAAAAATCTCTAATAAGCTCCATCAGGAACAATAAAGGAGAAATTACAACTGATGCCACGGAGATACAAGATATAATTTATGAATACTACAAAAACGTCTATACACACAAACTGGAAAATGTGGACAATTTCTTAGAAACACACAGCCTCCCTAGGCTCAACCAGGAAGAAATAGAATTCCTGAACAGACCAATACAAAGTACTGAAATTAAAACAGCAATAAAAAACCTTCCTAAAAAGAAAAGTCCTGGACCAGATGGTTTCACACCCAAATTTTACCACACCTACAAAGAAGAACTGGTGCCTATCCTGCAGAAATTATTCCACAACATCGAGAAGGATGGAATTCTCCCCAACACATTTTAGGAAGTGAACATAATCCTGATACCAAAACCAGGAAAGGATGCAACAGAAAAAGAAAACTACAGACCAATATCCCTTATGACTATAGATACAAAAAATTCTCAACAAAATCCTAGCCAATCGAATCCAGGTGCTTCTCAAGAAAATAATACATCACAACCAAGTGGGCTTCATCCCAGGGACGCAGGGATGGTTCGACATATGCAAATCTATAAATGTATTTCACGATACAAACGGAAGCAGAAACAAAGACTATATGATCCTCTCAATAGACAGAAATAGGCAGAAAAAGCATTTGAGAAAATTCAACACCCTTTTATGATAAGAACGCTCAACAAAATAGGCATAGACAGGTACTATTATGTTTGTTATATACCAACCCCTCCTCCCGCTCCCACCCGCCCGACACTCAATAAATGTTATTCCTATGTGTCCACTTAGGTGTTGATCCGTTAATACCAATTTGCTGATGAGTACATGTGGTGCTTGTTTTTCCATTCTTGAGATACTTCACTTAGTAGAATGGGTTCCAGCTCTATCCAGGAAAATACACGAGGTGCTATATCACCATTGTTTCTTAAAGCTGAATAGTACTCCATGATATACAAATACCACATTTTATTAATCCACTCATGTATTCATGGGCACCTGGGTTGTTTCCACAACTTTGCAGTTGTGAACTGTGCTGCTATAAACATTCGAGTGTAGTGTCCATTGTAGAGTGTCATTTGATCTTTTGGGTAGATGCCCAGTAGTGGAATTGCTGGGTCAAATGGTAGATCTACTTGTATCGCTTTAAGGCATCTCCATATTGCTTTCCACAGAGGCTGAACCAGTTTGCAGTCCCACCAGCAGTGTAGGAGTGTTCCTGTCTCTCCTCATCTACGCCAGCATTTATTGTTTGGGGACTTTTTGATAAAGGCCATTCTCACTGGAGATAAGTGATATCTCATTGCAGTTTTGATTTGCATTTCCCTGATGATTAGAGATGTTGAGTATTTTTCATATTTTTTTGGCCTTTATTCTGTCTTCTTTTGAAAACTTTCTGTTCATGTCCTTTGCCCACTTTTTGATAGGGTTGTTTGATTTTTCCTTGCGGATTTTCCTGAGTTCTAAATAAATTCTAGTTATCAGCCCTTTATCGGATATGTAGCT